ACAGCATGCTATTTAACATACTTATTATTTTTGTACTGTGAACACTTAAAATCTACTCCTACCAATGCTTAAATATATGATATAATGTTACTAACTAAAATCATTGTGATGTGCAATGACTATATTTAAGTATTCCTCTCTGAAATTTTGTGTCCTTTGATTAACCTGTCCCCATTTCCCCCAAACACTAGCCTCAGGTAACCACCACGTTACTCACTATTTCTACGAGTTTGATTTTTTCTTTAAAAGAGATTTATTTACTTATTTGAATGTCAGAGTTACAGAGAGAGAGGAAGAAACAGAGACATCTTCACTCTACTGGTTCACTCCCCAGATGTTTGCTACAGCGAGGGCGGAGCCAGGTGAAAGCCATGATCCAGGAACTTCATCTGGGTCTCCCACGTGGGTGCCAGAGGCACAAACACTTGGGCCATCGTCCACTGAATTAGAAGTGGAGCAGAAGAAACTTGAACTAGCACCCATAAGGGATGCCAGAATCATAGGCAGTGGCTTCACCTGCCTTTCCACAATGCTTGCTCTAAGTTTGACTTTTTTTAACACTGCATTTGTAAGTGGTATTTGTCTTTCTCTACCTGGCTTATGTCAGTTGGCATAATGTGTTCTGGGATCAGCTATGTTGTCTCAAGTCACAGAATTTCATTTTTATTATTTTTAAAGATTTATTTATTTGAAGGGAAGAGTGACCTAGAGAGAGGGAAAGACAGAGAGAAAGAGAGAAAGATTTCCTATCCGCTGGTTCACTCTCCGAATGACTGCAATGGCCTGGCCTGGACCAGGCCAAAGTCATGAGCCAGGAACTCCATCCCAGTCTCTTATGTGGGTGGCAGGAGCCCAAGTTCTCGGGCCGTGTTCTGCTGCCTTTCCACATGCATGAGCAGGGAGCTGGATCAAAAGTAGAGCAGCTGAGACTCTTAACTGGTGTCCTTATAGGATGCTGCTGTCACAGGTGGCAGTTTAATTGGCTATGCCACAACAGCAGCCCCAGGATTTCATTTTTAGAGGCTGAATAGCATTTCACTGTTTATATAAACCACATTTTCATTTTTCTTTCATCCATTGATGGGCACTTAGGTTGAATCCATATCTTTGCTATTGTTAACAATGCTGTAATGAATATGTGAGTGTATGTGTTTCTTCAACACACTGATTTTATATTTTTATATATGCCCCAAAGTGCTGGATCAAGGATAGTTTTTATTATTTGAGGGACTAGGGAAACTTCACACTGTTTTGCATAGTAACTGTACTAATTTGCATTCCCACCAACAGTGTACAAATATTCCCTTTTCTATACTTCCTCACCCACACTTTTTGTCTTTTGCAATAATCATTCTAATAGGCATGAGGTGATATCTCATATAGGTTTTTAAATTGCATTTCCCTAATGATCAGTGATCTTGAGGTTTTTTCCCTCACACACCTGTTGGCCATTTGTACATCTTCTTTTTAGAAATGTCTATTTAAATTCTCTGCTCATTTTTAAAATCATGTTGTTTTCTTGTTAGTGAATTGAGGCACTTGTATATTTTGGATATTAATTCCTTATCAGGTTGTGGTTTGTGAATATATTCTCTAATCCCATAAGTTGTCTGTTACTTACAGATTGTATATTAAAAACTAATCATGTTTACTGTTATGGATGAAATGATTAGAGAGAATGGGTGAGAGGAGAAAATGCGTAGGAACAGAGAGCCAGTGAGGAGGCTGTTGTAATTATTTCTACAAAAATGGAAAGATCATGGACTAAGGACAGTGTGGTTGGCAGGTGAAATAAACATCCATTAAAGAGGAGGAAAATGTGCATATTCTGATTGGTCAGACATGGAGAATGAGGAAAAGACAGGGGTTTGTTGAGGTGGATTGTTGAGTCTGAAGCAGATCTTAGGCAACCATAAGTAAAACAGAGACAAAATATATTGCTCTGGGGGAAATGAAAGCAGGATGCCAGGGCTCTCGTCAAGTGATTTGGGGATTCAGGGAAGAGAAGCTGAGTGTTGTCATGGGCTTAATATGCCCTGCAAAATGCTTGTGTTGAAGTCCCAACCTCTAAACCCTTAAGTTGTGACTGTATTTGGAGAGACGATCTTAAATGAGATAGTTTTCATTAAAACGAGGTTATTAGTTTGCTCATTGGGGTGGGCCCCAATCCCAAATACCTGGTGTTCTTACCTAAAAAGATCAGGACACTTATACAGAGTGAAGGCACAGAAGGGGCTGGCACAGGGCTGAAGCCGTTGCCTCTGATGCCGCATCCCATACAGGTGCTATTTCAAGTCCCAATTGCTTCAATGCCAATCTGACTCCCTACTAATGGCCTGAGAAAGCAGTGGAGGATGAACCTAGTGTTTGGGTCCCTGTCACCCTCAAGGGAGACAGGAATGAAGCTCCTGGCTTCGTCCTGGTCCATCACTGGCAGTGGTGGCCATGTAGGGAGTAAAACAGCAGATGGAAGACCTCTCTCTGTGTGTAACTCTGACTTTAAAGATAAACAACAAATAAATCTTAAAGCAAAAATGCACACACAGGGAAATGCAAGTCGAGGAGAGAAGCCTCAGAAGAAACCGATCCTGCTGAGACCTGGATCTCAGATTGTGGGAAAGTAAGTTTCTGTCGTGTAAGCCATCCAGACTGGGAGACTTCTTCATGGTGACCTCCACAGAGTTGAGTCCATTCAAGTCAGAGAAGGCACAGGCTGTGGGGACTGGGTGCTAAATTATGTTGCCCAGAAAACAGGGCCACCAGGGACTCATGGTTACTGTTCTTCCAGGCTGGTAGGGATGGAGCTTCTAATAGTCTTGCAAATTTGATTCTCAGTGGCTCAAAGAGAGGGCTGCGCAGATTTACACGTGGAAAGCCTTTACTTCAGAACTGGGCAGTTAGAAGCAAGCAGGGGCTGGCTCACCACTTCAATTTCAAAAAATAAGCATACTGCATCAGTCAAGACTGAGCTGACAACCAATTAAGATGATGGTTTCTGCTTGAACATGCCTCCATATTAGATTAAGCAAAATACAGAGGGCTGGCGTTGTGGCACAGTAGGCTAAGCCTCCGCCTGCGGTGCCAGCATCCCATATGGGAGCCAGTTCGAGTCCCGGCAGCTCCTCTTCCAATCCAGCTCTGCTATGGTCCAAGTGCTTGGGCCCCTGCACCTGCGTGGGAGACCTGAAGAAGCTCCTAGCCTCAGATCTGCTCAACTCCAGCCTTTGCAGCCATCTGGGGAGTAAGCCAGCAGATGGAAGCCCTCTCTCTGTCTCTCCCTCTGTGTGTAATTCTACCTCTCAAATCTCAAATAAAATCCTTTTTTTTAAAGAAAAATATAGGGAGACACACATTCTCTCTCTCTCTCTCTCTCTCTCTCTCTCTCTCGTGTGTGTGTACTTTGAATGTCCACTCTACATTCTGAGCACTTCTTTTTGCCTCCACAGGCTGTAAGCATGGTTCAACCTTTGCCACTCTCCCCAGGTAACTGCATTTTCTTCCTCATTGCTGTCTGTCTCGGTATTGCCCCATAATGAGCCACAAGGGCAGCTCATTCTAGACATGAATGGGCACACTGCCATGATGTTCTCATTTGTATGAGGAAAGGAATCACCTAGAAATCCTCTGAACGGCCTGCGCTAGTCTCCCAAGCCCCATCAGGACGCACAGATTCCTCTTTGCAATTACTCTCTCACCTACCCCTTTGTTTTACATTTCCACACATGCCAGCTCAGCCATTTTTCAGCTCCTGCCCAGACTAACGCAGTCGTGCCCCTGAGTGACTGCCTGCAGACCTCTTGGCTCTCTCCTCTCCACCTGCACCCATCCTGCACCATACTTTCATAAAACAGCCTTATAAAACTTTTACCAAATCCTGTCTTTCAGCTCGATCAGCCGGGTCTTTACACCCCACCTCTTCCTCAAGAAGGTTCGTCTTTGCCTTCCGAATTGGGTCTAAGCACATTTACACAGCATGCAAGAAAAGGACCCGATGTCCTGCCTGGCTGTAGGAAGCGCTAATTCTTCACCTTGGCACCTCAAGCTGCAGCTGTAATCGGGGCCCTAATGCCCAGCTAGGCCCTTAAACGGAAGACCTGCTGAGCCGAGACCCACTTTCCCAGCCCGGCTCCAGGGCTCCGCTCTTCTGCCAACTGACCAGGCGGAAGCAGCAGCAGGGGAGGAGGGACCGCAGGTAGGAGGGGAGGGGATCGTTTTGAAAGCCCTGAATCCCTTGCAGGGAAGAGGCAGCTGCTCCTTGTTTTTCTAAACATCTGTCCCATCTGCCCCCAGCCGCAGGAGCCTCGAGCAGGTTCAAGGTGGACTGGAGAGGCAGGCGCCCCGCGAAGGTTGCGTGGGAGCCGGGGCAGCTGAGCCTGCGTGGCCGCCGCCCCCGCCCCACTCCCGAAAATTCCTTCTGTGAAGAGCGGTAGGGGGAGTCTAGGGAGGACAGGCCGAATGCACGGAGTCGGTTTGAAACGATCCCCCGCCCCCAAAATGCTATGTCACAAAACCGAGGGACCCCTAGCTCTTATTATCGAGCGCCCCAGGCCGCGGATGTGGGGGAGAAACCGTGACAGCACGCTACCTCCGCATTTCACAGCGCTCCCCTGCAGGCACTGCCCCCCACCCCCACCCCCGGAGAAGGACCCTGTTTTTATTGTTATTTCCCCCTAGGACGCAGAACCCCGTCTGCAGCCTGGCTGGCGTGCAGTTTATGAATGAATGAAAAAACGAGATGATTCAGCCGGTTCGCAGATACAGCGTGGGAGGCTCGGGCTTAGAAAGCGGTGGCCAAAGGGAGCGCTGTCAGCAAACCCCCTAAACCCAGCTCCAGCCCACGCGGCTATCCCCGGGTGCTCGCTCAGGCCAAACGGAGGCTGCGCGCGCCCCGAAGCGCCCGCCCCCACGGCGCACGCGCAGCCACGCCCCCTCCCCGGGTCGCTCCCGCGGGGAGTCGGCTTCCACCCTAGTTACCGGGTTGTGGGCGGGGCCAAGGCGGCGCAGGCGTAACGGGCAGCGGAAGTAGGAAGTAGCGGACGCGATAAAAGGGCTCGTGGGGTCCTCGCTAAGGGCATTGCGCTCCTCCCCCGCTGCGTGTGTCGCCCCTCCTCTCTCCATCCTGGGGCTCCGGTCGCGGGACCCTCCGGGCGGCCGCACGTGTTGTCAGGCGCGGGCTCCTCCCCTCTCCGCCCCCTTCCCCGGAGCCTCGGCGCCGCGCGTTCCCTGCCCGCCGCGATGGCGCTCGACCCCGCAGGTACGGGGGTTGATGCGTGGTTTGCAGCGGGACGCCGGGCTGGTGCCGCGGGCGTCCGGGCTGGGCAAGGTCCGATCTGAGGTCGCGCCGCTTTCGCACACTGCCTTCACCGCCGGCTCCTGCCGTGGGGTTCGCAGCCGGCCCTGGTTGCTTCTCTCGGGCGAGGTTAGGGTTAGGTGAGGGGCTCTGGGTTTTGTTGTTGGAACTGTGGTCCGTTTGCGGCAAACAGACTTTTCCCTCCTCGGCTCAGACGGCTTTCTTCGTCGTCATTTTCGCTCCTTAGGGCCCAGACTAGACATTGGATGGTGTAGGCACCTTTGACCCAGCAACATTTCGTACTGGAGCCGGAGCTCGAGTTCACGTTGTCTTTGGGAATTCCCGGACCCCCGGCTCGTCCTCAGACACGGCGGTTCGAGGGTCCATTCCTGTGGCGAGTCGTCTCTCGGGGAAGGGGTCCCCAGGCTCTGAAATGTTCTGACTGTCGTGATTCCTCCTGCTTGCCTTTGCTGCAGAGTTCTGTTACTCTAAGGCGCCTCCTCGCAGAACCACACCTGCGTCTTGGGCGTTGAGGCAGTTTATGCAAGGGTGTAGATACAGAAGCCTCCTGGGGGGACGGTGATTGATCTGCCCACTCCTTTTTGTTGTTGTTGTTGTTGCTGTTAAAGATTTATTTTACTTATTTGAAATAATTACAGAGGGAGCTAGAGACAGAGGTCTCCCATCTGCTGGTTCACTCCCCCAGTGGCCGCAAACGCCAGAGCTGAGCCCATCAGGAGCCAGGAGCTTCTTCCCGGTCTCCCATGCGGGTGCAGGGGTCCAAGCACTCGGGCCGTCTTCCACTGCTTTCCTAGGAGCATTAGTAGGGAGCTGGATCAGAAGTTGAGCAGCCGGGACTGGAACCTGTGCCCTTATGAGATGCCAGCACTGCATGCTGGGCCTTTAACCTGAGCCCCGCCACCCCCCTTTCCCAATTCCTTTCATTTTATAAATACAAAGCCTCAAGGTGTTGGATGGTGATATGGCTCCAAACCATTTGGAGATTCCGAAGTGGAAAAGACACTTTTGGGACCCCCAGAGGACAAAATACACGCATAGTGTTCATTGAACCACTTTTTAAAATCAAGCTAAGTAGTCTCAATGACCTTTGATTTCTTTTACATATGAGGAAACGGAGGCACAGAGGTTAATGGTAGTGGTGGAGTTGGTAGAAGTGCAAAGGAATTCCACAGTGCATAATGATCAGACCAGTTTGTGGTTCAGCGATTGGGTCAGAATTCATGGAGCAATGAAACGGCGGATCTGGGCTTTGAAGAGTAGGATTTCCAGAGGTTGGAGTATCCTGTGTCAGGTATGTAGATACGCTGATGAAAAACCAACATAGGACTCATGAGTGACTATTTTTTCAATGGTTTATACTTGTTACTGCACATAATTTTTTTAAAAGATTTATTTATTTGAAAGTCAGACTTAACACAGAGAGAAGAGGCAGAGAGAGAGGTCTTCCATCTGATGATTCACTCTCCAGTTGGCCGCAAAGGCTGGAGCTGTGCAGATCTGAAGCCAGGAGCTTCTTCCAGATCTCCCATGCAGGTGCAGGGGCCCAAGCACTTGGGCCATCTTCTGCTGCTTTCCCAGGCCATAGCAGAGAGCTGGATTGGCAGTGGAGCAGCCGGGTCTCAAACTAGTGCCCATATGGGATGTGGGCGCTTCAGGCCAGGGCGTTAACCCACTACACCACAGCGCTGGCCCCGACCTAATTATTTTTGTTTTCAAACTATTTACAATTTGGCCAGCGAATTTCTTTATCTAGCTTCTGGAGCTTTGGGGGTAGTTTCCCATTTTGGGGAGCATTTTTTCTTTCTTCACATAGGATGTCACTGGCTTGCCACTTGGCCCGTTTTCTGAGACGTCCTGGTTCTTTTTATTTTGGTGTACTATTGCAGAACAATATCTGGTCACTCCGTGTGGGTTCCTCTTTTGTGTTTTACATTTGAGTGATTCATTAATGGAGTGCCCTTAGGGGGAAAAGCAAGGGAGTAAGGCGAACAGGAGAGTGAAGGGTTAGGATGTGGTTTCAGGGAAGGCTGTTGCATTAGTCAGCTTTTTGTTCACTACAACTACTTATCAAAGGTGAGCTACCTGTGAAGGAAGGCTTATTGTAGGGCCTCACAGTTTTGAAGGTTCACAGTCTAAAATAGGGCAAGTCCCTCTGGTTCAGCTAACTGGTGAGGCTGGGAGAGGGTTAGTGGAGTGCGAGGGGAGGAACAATCATGTGGTGATCCAGGGGGCAGAGGGAGACTGAGCCAAGCTCAGCTTTTATAAAGACCCTCCTGAGAGGGCTGTCTTTTGAGGCATGACCCGGATACCTCACATAGGTGACAGAATCCCAAGGACTTGAGCTGTGATACTTGTTGCCTTCCAGAGTGCAATTAGCAGGAAACTGGATTGGAAGTGGAGCTAGGATTCTAACCCAGGCACTCTAATGTGGAATGCAGGTGTCCAAAGATGTGGCTTAACAAGGTAGCTACCCAGGAGCCAAGTCTTACTCAAAATGTAGCAGCTGGTCTTAGCTAGTTAGTTCTGGTGCACCCACAAAGTACAAAGTCTGTCCTGTCTCATGGGCAACGGAGCTGAGCTTTATGCCCTCTGTCAGCCGCTGGTTACCTGTAGGAGCTGGAAGCAGGGGAAACTGTAAAAGATTACCATTGCCCAAGGGCAGTCCTGAGAAGGTTGCAGATGTGAGTGCTCCAGCATTCCCTGTCACAGGAAGATCAGCTTGATCCAAAAAACAAGTTGTCTGACTCTACTGGGAACCTTAGTTTGCACAGTGAGTTCAGGTAGTGTTGAGTCAGATAGGAAAGGGTCCTTGCACACATGTATGCACATACACAGGCGTGTGTCCCATCTCCGTTAAATTATTGAGAGGTTATGGTCAGAACATTTGAATAACATTGGTTTAAGATATACCTACAATAACCCTATCAGTGCGTTTTTTTTTTTAATACTAAGCACATGCTATTCCTTTTCTCTAAACTTTCCCTCTCTCCCTCATCCCCAAATCTAATGCTTGCTCATTTTTTACAATTCATTTTAAAGTCAGTTTCTTAGGAGACTTTCCCTAATTATAACCATCCTCAAGTCTTCAAAAAAATTTTAATATTTAAGATTTTAAAAACTCACCAAAATATCATACAATCTGTTTATATTGTTTCTTTTATTCTAGACCTAAGTTTTTTTCCTTGAAAAATACACAGTGGGTTAAGCCAGCACTTGGGATGCCTGCATCCCATATTGAAATGATGATTTTTGTCCTGGTTGCTCCACTTCCCATTCAGCTCTCTACCTGAGAAGCAGTGGATGATGGTTTAGATCCTTGGGTCCCTGCCACCCACAAGGGAGACCTGCATGGAATTCTTGGCTCCTGGCTTCAGCCTAGTACAGCCCCAGCTGTTGTGACCATTTGAGGGAGTGAACGGTCACATGGAAGATAAATCCCTCTGTCTTGTATCACTCTGCCTTTCAAATAAATATATCTTTAAGACATAAATAAAATGAAACCTATAGATGGTATGTGTCTCTTTAACAGTTTGAGATGAAAACTGTAATCTTGAGAAAGGCAGTGTCCTGCCTGTGTAGTATACAGTAAATATTTTTTTCAGCGGATTTCACCATCTCTTCAATTAGAGGCTAGATGACCAGAAAGGACAGGCCAGTTAATTTTCTCTTGGCGGTAGGGACTCACTTGCCTACCAGCAGGGAGGCTGCTGGGAATAAACACCAAATTTGGCTGTTAGTAGGACTCACTCACTGTTCCAGACTTTGCCAATAATCAATTTTAAATGCTGAAATTTGAGGCTGTGAGGTAGGGAGAGTGAGATATATCAGATAACTGCTAAGGTTACTTCAGACCTTCATTTACATGATTATAAACACAGAAAAGAATTACTTCAGATTGACTATAGTAGCATCATTATTTTTGCTTAGGGATGTTAATGTGTATTTGTAGAGATCTAAATTTACAGACGTCAAAAATATGAGAAATACTACCTTGTACTTGATATCAGGGCACAATTTTGTTTGGTCTACTTAAAAGAATGTTGATATTCAACTTTACATTCTTTCTCACAACCCCGTATTATTTTTGCATTTTAAAATAAGGAGGTTGAGGGGGAAATTAAGAACATGTTAACTATTGCACTTTGTGTTTTTGCTAAAGAATTATTAGAGAATTTTTTTAATAAAAGATTTTATTTGAGAGGTAGAGTTACAGCCCAGGGAGCCAGGGAGGGAGAGACAAGAGAAAGATCTTCCGTTCATTCTTTCCCCAGATGGCCTCAATGGCTGGAGCTGGGCTGATCTGAAGCCAGGAGCTTCTTCCTGGTCTCCCACGTGGGTGCAGGAGCCCAAGCACTTGGGCCATCCTCCACTGCTTTTCCGGGCCATAGCAGAGAGCTGGATCTGAAGAGAAGCAGCAGGGACTAGAACCAGTGGTCATGGGATGCAGGCTTAACCCACTAAGCCACAGCTTAGGCCCCTACAGGGAAGTTTTTACAGATCGAAGGATATGTTAATTATCTAAGGGTGCTTAATTGAAATGTCGATTTTCAAATGTGTTTGCAGAATAAGGAGCCTACCTCTCTTACTCATCACTGTATACACAGTCCCTAGCATGGTGATTGCTATGTAGTAGGTGCCTAATAAACATTTGTTAACAGAATAAATATCTGCTTATGAAATACTGGAACTATTTTAAATATGCATGTCATAACAGTTTTATTGCATGTTTACCGTATGCTAGGAGTTGGAGTTACAAATAGTCACAGTCTCTGAACTCGGTAAACTTAACTGTTTCATGCAATCATTCTTAACTTGGCTGCCTATAAGAGTGTTTTTTTTTTTTTTTAAAGATTTACTTATTTATTTGAAAGTCAGAGTTACACAGAGAAGGAGAGGCAGAGAGAGAGGTCCTACGTCTACTGGTTCACTCCCCAGATTGCCACAACAGCCAGAGCTGTGCCCATCTGAAGCCAGGAGCCAGGAGCTTCTTCCAGGTCTCCCATATGGGTACAGAGGCTTAAGCACTTGGGCCATCTTCCACTGTTCTCCCAGGCCATAGCAGAGAGCTGGATCAGAAGTGGAGCAGCTGGGACTTGAACTGGTGCCTTATGGGATGCCAGGACTGCAGGTGATGGTTTTACCCCTATTCCGCTATGCCACAGCGTCTGCCTCCCACCCCCGCATTCTTTTTTGAAAATATTTTTTGCCATTGTGGGATTCAGAATCAGAATTCCATTTGACTTTACTTTCTGAACAAAAATATTAACTATGAGGTAAGGAGTTTGATGCTTTTTCCAATTGATGCTGCTGAAATAGGCAGTTAGGTTATCTAAGACTTGTTTCCATCCTTCAGTAACTGGAATTCAACTTGTATGTTGACAAGGCCAAACTGCACCCCATCCCCCCCATCATGTTCTTGCTGGTGGTTCATGGAGGATTTGGGACCTGGATTACACAAACTTGGCATTGCCAGTGTTTCAAAAGCTTGGGTTAATTCACCTCTGTGGGCCTCCACTGCTTTATCTGCAAAATGGAATCAAAATACTTCCCTGAGAGGGCTCTTAGGAAGATCTGTGGTCCTTAGGAAGATCTGTGGTCCTCATTGCCCTCATCTTCTGGCGTCAGGGCCAGAGGCAGGCTAGCGTATGGGAAGGAAAATGTCTACTACTGATTTCCCTTTTTTTTTTTTTTTTTTTTTTGTCAGGCAGAGTGGACAGTGAGAGAGAGAGATAGAGAGAAAGGTCTTCCTTTGCCGTTGGTTCACCCTCCAATGGCCGCCGCGGCCGGCGCACCGCGCTGATCCGATGGCAGGAGCCAGGAGCCAGGTGCTTTTCCTGGTCTCCCATGGGGTGCAGGGCCCAAGCACCTGGGCCATCCTCCACTGCACTCCCTGGCCACAGCAGAGGGCTGGCCTGGAAGAGGGGCAACCGGGACAGAATCCGGCGCCCCGACCGGGACTAGAACCCGGTGTGCCGGCGCCGCTAGGCGGAGGATTAGCCTAGTGAGCCGCGGCGCCGGCTGATTTCCCTTTTTGTCAGTTCAAGTATGACTTGAAGGGAGTAAGGTGAAAGGATCGTTACTCCTCACTTAGTTTGCTGGTTTTACTGTCTTTATAGCACAAAGGTCTGAGCAAGCTGGCAAAAATGTGGGCATCTGGTCACGCGTGTCCCTGTCTTTCTTCTGGAGAGAACTGGAGTCTCTGGCTTCCTGGTGGAATCAAGTAGGGAGAAAGTAGCAGTGGGAGCTGGGTCCAGCTGTTGCATGTGATGCCATCTGTTGGGGCCTTTCCAT